TGGAAAAGCAGTGGAGGGTGGAGTACAGACTGGAGAGTGGAGCGGAGAGTGCATTGCAGAGTGGAGTGGTGAGTGATGCAGAAAGTGAACAAGAGTGGAGTGGAAACTGGAGTGGTCTCTGGAGTGAGGGTGGAGTCCAGAGTAAAGTCAGAGTTGGATTGGACAGTGGAGTGAAACGTGGAGCAAAGACTGGGAGAATGGGGAAAGTGGGGAGGAGAAGGCTTGAAAGGAAATTGGAGTGCAAAGAGAAGTGGACACTGGAGTCAAGTTGGCGAGGTTACGCGATGGGTTTTCCAGGCCCTCAATGAGGTTTGTGCTTTTTGCTGGCATGTACCCCCGCCTCGTCTACCTTACTCCATGGTACATAAAGCCTGGCTAGCTTTCATTGGCCTCGGCTCGCCCCTGAAGTAGATATCATATCATGTACTACATATCCATGCTGCGGTCTCTTAAGCTCATTTCCTTACGTAGTAAGCCCACTATGGTAATTTCAATTGAGCTCCTTAAATTAACAGCAACCCAGGCTTTGCTGGGCTGCCCAGGTGGGAGTTTCTCAAATGGGGTACAGTGGCCCTGTAGTCTAGGAGATGCTTGGGGTCCTGATTGCTTGCGGTGGTTAGGAGGGAATGCAGGAGTGGATACTTACAGTAGACCCCCCAAGACCTCAAACCCCATATACGAATTGCTGTCAGAAACTCCCAGGTCAAGATGTCAGTCCTGGGTTTTTCCAACTGCACCTGGGTGGAGGCTTTGCGGTTTTGGGCAATATTGATGAGCGTGTAAGGGGGCCTCCATTTGGGGCACCATGATTGTGCGTAAATCCTGCCACATATTGTGCAAATCATGCATAGCCTGCAGATAGGACTCTCCCGCAAGTTTTTTTTTGCAAAGGACTGTAGTCCGTGTAGGCCCATTTTCAAGGTTCCTGGTTCGTTTGGATGGAGGGTAAGGGTTTTGGGTCTTCACTGTGAACCCTGAACCCTCAACCCTTGCAAGCAGCCGAAGCCGAGGCAACATGTTCACACGACTTGGTGCCTCCATGGCTGGGCTTTCTCCCTTGGGCTACGCAGCCCTGGTGGGTCATGAGCAGCTCACCTGTACTTAGTTGGGACCAGGCATAAGGGAAAAATGCATGCAAACTATTCCAGGTCTAGGCTCCATCAGGTAGGAATGACAGGGAATGGACGAGGAGATGGCAAACGACTGTTTTACATGGGCATGGGGTGCGGCTTGTCGGATACGCAGTTTTAGGGCCTACGCCTTTTACTGGGAAGGGCTATATGGAGCCCTGTGGTAGCCCGTGGGAAGTTTCCAATGCTAGCTTCCGTGTTCTTCTGTGTTCCCGTCATTCTTCAGGCAACTGGCGCAGCTCTACTTGGATCATGGGGCAGATTCTCTTCCAAACGAGCGGGGTGATCTGCCTGAGGATCTAGCGCGCAACAATCACCATCACCATCTACTGCCTTCATTGGCCACATTTGCGACCTAATGTGGGAGCGGAGCTTGAAGAATTTGAGTAGGGCATTTGGGTATGTCATGAGGATTGTGGGAATACTGTTCGCATTTTTCAGGCTTCTACATTAAATACCTTACAAGCCACTGCATTTCTTGTTTGCATTTCAGATTCAAGTTTCTTTTCCATTCCATTTTCTTTCGCTGGTAATTATTCGGGCTTCTACAGTGGGGCTTTCTCAATGCGGCTTGTGCTTGGATACTCCAACCGCTGGAATCATCCTGAAACGGGGCGCTAAAACGGAGCCCATACTTCGAGAGAGCCTCGAGAGTGGAGGAGCCAAAGAGCTACCACCTTGACGCAGAGGAGACGGAGGGTTGAAAGAGAAGCTGTGTGCTTGTGGATGCTACCAACGGCGACGGGTTGGGGCCACGAGGGGGAATGAAAAGGGTGTATGTAGGGTACATTCAAAGGATGTTGAGGTGTCCACTCAGGATTCCACAGGGTTTGTTGTGAAATATTCAGACCTGTTGCCATGATGCATTGGATCCTGCAAGCTGCGTGACGCACACCGGACTTTGCGATTCTTTGGCGGTGATAAAGCGATACCAGGGCGAACACTGCAATGTCGTCGCCAACTTCAATGTGTCTATTGAGGCGGGTGGGGAGTGTGACAACATTGTTGGCTGTGCCGAGTGAGTGCTGGATGGGACGAATGTTGCGCCGCAATTTGAATGAGCAGTTCTTCACGCCCCGGCGGCCGTGAGCGAGCTTGTGCTGCTCAAGGGTGGGGCCTCTATTGATGGAAGCGTCCATCTTGCCTGAAAGGTGCTCTTTCTTGAGCCTCACACGGCTCAGCCTTCAACCCCTGAAGCACCACATGCAGTAAATTGGTGATTATTTCGCCTTTTTCAAGCCGTTTTGCTCCTAGTGTTATTTCTTGTTACAGGTCCTCGTTTGCCAGTTTGCGTGCCGGCTGCCCGTGCATCCGCATGCATTTCTGCTGCTGCTTTCCTAGTAGCAGGATGCATGGGTGGGAACATGTTGCAGACGCTACTTGTGGGGGACTGCGTAGTTGCTTCTCTTTTTTGTTTGTTTTTTCTGATTTCTTCTTTGTAAAGTACTGCCTCTTGTTTTCCGTTTCATCCTCCTTTCTCTCGTTCTGGTTGTGTTTTTGTTTGAGGATGATGTTGTAACACAAGCTCGAAAGGTGAAGCTCAACATTTTATGTTTCTTGCGTGCCTTTTCTATGCTGCTGTCAACCGCGGTCCCTTTGACGACCGTTACGGCAGGGCCAGCCTTCCTGCAGACCTGCGGCTGGGCGCCATCACCTAGGAGATCCGAGGGAACTTACTGCCAGTGGGCCCTCCCTTCTGGTGGCCTCGCTTTTACCTCGCCATCAATCCCAATGTGGTCCCCGCTTCCCCTTCCAAGAGTGCACACAAGAGCAGGCTGCCACATTCAGCGCACTGAAAGTCCAAGACGCCTGCCAGAGCAGAGAGATGGGATGGCATCAGCGTCTCCTGGGATCACCGGCGTGCTCCAGGTGTCCAGCACAGCGCTGCAGACTGCACGCTCGACCGCGACGGCCAAAATGCTCCACCAACGGCGCGCCCAGCCCTCAGCACACAAGCTGCCGCACTAATTACTGCTTGTAGTGCGGACGATCTTCTTGCTGTGTGTTTATGTAATCGTGTGTGGAGGGATGGCGTATTCCGAAACAATGGCATAAAACTCTTCAAAGCTGGTGTTGGTGCCTGTGAAAAATTACCGCTTAGCGCTAGTGGCAGTTTTGCTCCGTTGCATTTCAAGTATTCTGAACAAGAGAACTGCCACTTTAATTCGGCAGGCGCGGCAAGCAAAAATAGGATCCTGTGTTGGGGGGCTGCAGTGCACCCACCAGCATCCACCACAGCACCTCGGAAGCCAACAACATTAAACAAAACGCAAGAAACAACAAGCTTGAAGACAGCAAGGAACAACAAACAAATAGATAACAAGTACACGCGGTCTTTGCTGCGAGATTCACACACGTTGTATCGACTGCCACTTGGGCCCGTTGCCAGTTCCAGGCTCGAGTTTTGCCCACGTGGATGGGCGCACAGTAGCTCAAGCAGTGTGGGGAAGCGCGCAAGGCGGCCAGAGTCCATTCCGACGTCGTCCAAAAGAGCGTGGTACAGCTTGTCCGGGTCGCAATCTCCAGCAGCGCGGCGTGTTGCTCGACCGCATACAGCACCGGCACGTGAGGGTCTCCCTGCTTGCCCTTCTCCATTTGGAAGACCTCGTGTCTGCGGTCCCCGTTGTCATAGACGGAGTACAATACAGACGGGCTTGTCCGTAGAATATCAGGGAAAGCGGCAGTAGGCCCGCCAGGGAGGATTGCGAATTGCGAAGTTTCGTTAACAGGTTGGCTTTGGAAATATGGTCATCGGCGCCAACCCCATCCATACTGAGCACAGTCGTCCGCGGGCCCGCCTCGACTGCCATGCGCATGACATGGATGAGCCTCTGACCCAGCCCGCGTGAGGAGTGCGTATTGGAAGGGGGCGCGCTTCCCTGAAAGCTTCACCGAAATGTTGCACCAACGTTCGCGCAACGAGCTTCCGAAACACGTTCCCCAACACGAAGGCGTGAACACCGCCACACGGTGTTGTGCGCGGAGCTCGTCTGCCTCGCCGCATCTTTCAGCCACTGCTGTGGGCACTTCGCCATTTCCCTGCCGTGCCCGCAAGGAGTTCAGTGGCGACCTCGTCATGGAGCATGACACGCGAGTGCCCCTTGTACATCCAGATAGCCCCTTTGCCGATCCCCGCCTCGCACAGCGAAGGTGAGCACGACTAGGTCCGGATCCCCCTGCTGACCCACCGCACAGGCAATGAGGCGCACCGGTCCCCAGTGTGCGGGTCTGCGATTCGTTCAGGACACGCTCCGCATCTTCTTTTTCTCCGCACCTTTTCCAGCCAATCCGCGGTCCCAGTGCGAGGCATGACGGGAAGCCGAGCTGCAAAAGTCCAAAGCCAGATACAGACATATGTTCAAACCACCCTTTTTTCACCTTGCGATAAGTGGAATGACATCACCAGGTACAGACATACATAAAAAACTGCCCCCTTTGTTCGTTCGCCTTGCGATAAATAGCAGGACATGACATAGGGAAGCCAGGTACAGCCATGCGTTAAAACCTACCCTTTTTTTCAGCTTGCGATGAGCAGGACACAGGGAATTCTATCAGACACTTGGCTGTTTTTGGAGCCACACAGCGTGAGGATTGTTGCAAGATGAGGCACACGACCTCAGGGCATCATGGAGTCGGGGCGCATGAATGTCGAGAGATTAAGAGACACAAGCTATTACAGGGTCTCCTTGTGGGCCATTGGGCTTTGCAAGCAAATATGCCCGCGTGTGCCATAGACATGTAATTCATGCTCGAATGGAAACAGGACGTGCTCTGACAAGCGGAGCCGGCGCACATCCCAACCACAATTTGTGCCTTGGGTGCTATGACGCCTTGACTGCTCAGCCTCAGCTGTCTGGCTGCCTAGCGTATCTTCAATTGTTGATCCTTTTTTCTCGGACGTTTGCGATTGCACGGGCTCCGGGCCCTCTGAAGTTACACCTCCATCGACCGCTATGCCCTTAGCAGCAAGCGGCTGCGCTTTTCCTCGCTTCGGGCTCGGGGAGCTTGTTTAGGGGCGGGTCCGAGATGGCAGACGCTGTGGAGAGGGGGCCATGCTCCGAGTCCCGAAGTCCCCACAGCGTGCTGCACGCCAGCGACAACATGCTCCACCAGCGTCGGGCCATCCGCGCTCGCGTCCCAGAAGTCACTGCGCGGCTGCTGCAACATTTGCAGGCGGAGGGGCCTGAGGCTGCCGCCCCTCCTGCGGCGGCCCAGCAGGCCGGGCAAGGTTATGGTGCTCCATGCAGGTCGAAGCCCAGGCACGGGTTGAGCGGGAATTTGAGTGCGCGCTCGATTTGCATCTTTCTCGCCTTGATGCCGCATCTCGTGCGCTGCTGCTGTCGCAGGCTGGGCCACACGCTGCGCGTGCCTTCGCAGTCTTCCCAACCTCCGCGGAGCTGGCGGTCTCCTCGCCGCAGCTCCGGGTCATCCTGTTACGACGCCTGCGACTATCGCTGGCTGTGGCGCCACGCGCATGCGCTTTTTGGGGACGCCTCGACCCGCTTGGTGCCCACTAGGCTGCGTGTGCAAAAGCGGGCGTGCTTGCCTCCCGCGCTTGGCCCTCCAGCGGGCAGCCGCGCGCGAGTGCCAGGAAGCTGGCGCTCGGGTTGCACGGAACGTGCGTGTGGCGGACATGAACATCGATGTGCCGGTCTCAGACGACCCCGCATCGAAGTTGTCGCCAATGGGCTCCCGCTCTGGCACGGTTCCCAACAAGCCATCAATGCCACCATCGTCAGCGCAGTCACGCGAGAAGGCGAGGCGCAGCCTTGGGGACGCCCGACCAGGCCAAGCCCCCGTTAGGGCTCGTTGGTGTCGAAGTCGGGGGCCGGCTCAGTAGCACGGTCCGTGTGGGTAGCTCAGTGGTCCGGCCTTGTTGCGGTCGCGGCACACAGCGCCTTCGCCACCTCACTCCTGGAGCTCCGTCTTGCCGGGGGGTGCAACGTCGGAGGGGAAGCGCCCGAGCTGCGCGAAGTCCTTTTTGACGTGCGCTGGCAGCGCCCGCCCCTGCCAGCAGGCTAGGGCCCCGCTGAGCACGCTGGGCCCAGGCTGCAGCATCCCAAGATGCGCATCCGACCGTCGCTGATGACGCAGACGCAGAAAAGCGCGTGAAAAAAAAATCGAGAAACCTAGCATCACACCTGGTCTCTTCAGCAGGATGCGTGCAAAAAACCCCAATAATATCAGGCGTGGGCTATGAAATGGCTATGGAAGGACACGACGCTTTAACGTGCTGGCATCATTGATGGAAGGTTGAGTGAGCCATCTCCCTTGGTGTGGGAATCCAGCAAACCCATGTCTGCGAAGCAAACCAAGGCCACGAACCTCAGATCATGTAAGATACTTTGCGGCCGGGCTG